TTCTTGGTCAGGTTTCTTGGTGTTGCAGGATGTATTGTATTCTTGGTCAGGTTTCTTGGTGTTGCAGAAGGTATTGTATTCTTGGTCAGATTTCTTGGTATAGTATTCTTGGTGTTGCAGAGTGTATTGTATTATTGGTCAGGTTTCTTGGTGTTGCAGGATGTATTGTATTTTTGGTGAGGTTTCTTGGTGTTGCAGGATGTATTGTATTCTCGGTCAGGTTTCTTGGTGTTGCAGGATGTATAGTACTCTTGGGCAGGTTTTTTGGCGTGCAGGATGTATTATAGTCTTAGTTAGGTTAAATTCCTTTTTTTGCAGGATTTATTGTGTTATTGGTCAATTGTCTTAGCTTAGCATAATGTCAGGTTTATTGGTATTTCTGGGCAATGCATTGGTTTTAAATAATGTAATACATTGTTTTAAAACTTTAATTTTATAAGTACATGATGGATGTACTCTTCTCTCTTGGAGGTCTAATGACGATGTACCTCTTTGAAAAGCAGATGAAATGTTTTTGGATTGAAACTTTTGATTTGGTAGCTATCGAATGACGTATTATCTTTCTAGATTTCTTGGTGATTTAGTTCCTTTATTTTTCATGCCATGTACAGTTTTGACATCTAATGCTCTTGCAGGATAAACAGGGCTAGATCGTTAAATTCAAAATTCTTTCTGATGATTTTAATAATTTTGTTGAAGTAAAAAGTCTTTCGCTTAGTAAGACACGACTAATCGTTTTCATTCTCGCGTTGAACGATTTCAAACCTCTCACAATGTTCTTCACACAACCACAGCCATTTGCCACTCTTGTCTACATTTGTACAAACCAGAGGACCAAAGTTACGTCCTTTGGCTTCAACCTCCAAAAACCTGGATAAATCACTGCGTAGTAGACCAGAAGATGATTTCAAATCACTGAAGTCATCCTTAGATGAGCCAAGTGAAGGCTTTAAGTGAGGGTACTTGTTTAGATAGCTGTCCAGAAGGGACTTAAGCTCTTGGCAGACAGACTCGGCACCAATACCAACAGTAGCTCCTGCCCTAAAGTGAGGATCAAGTAATGCGGCAGCTAATATAGGTCTAGAAAGGGTTGAGATAAACCGCAGAGCTTTGCACACACGTTTGCCATACGTCTTAAAGAACTCTTTGGGTTTACCAACACGAAGCCCAGGAGAATCCACAAAGTGCCATTGGTCTGGACACTCGCAGAGGAGATGAACTGCAAATCCATCTCTGAAGTAGGAGTAAACCAAACGATCTTTCAATGATAGGCATTCAAGATTAATAGGCAGAACTACAAACAACTTAGGACAGAAATGATTCTCTAAAGTTTCTCTAACAATTCGGGTTGTTTGAGCAATCCACAAGGGAACAATCTCGGCCGAACTGTAATTAACTATCTTGGTTGCGGCCGACAATGTGTCCTACTGAACAAACACCGTCATGTGGAATATTGTATTTAAACGAAGCTGGAGGCTGAATTCTCTTCATCACACATTCGGGACACAACACACTTTCCCTATAAGTGATACCTGGATAGCGGCGACGCTTGACAGTTTCTATCGTAGATCTTATGCCAGGTATGATAGACGGTGGATCAGGACCTCTGACAGCAACAGTTAACGAGTTATTATAAGGCATGAGTTCATAGTGAACTGTATGCAACACAGGTGAATATTGTGGAGGGAGGCAGTTGCCCGGCTCGTCTTTAGTAGCATCGTCTTTCGCACCAGCGTCAAGATCATGAAAAGAGCTACTCGGTTCCTGATCTTTTCTGATGTAGACGATATTAAAACGATAGTACAACGGCTTCACATTTCTAGCAAAGGTCTCATTCTTTTTGTTGACTTCAACTATGAGGTCTGGAAAGAATGATGGAGGTACGAAGCTAAATTCAAAAAGAAGACACGTTTGATTTTGTCCTGGCGTTGGCACTGGAGGCCATATCTCTCGATCGGGCCAACCAACTGGCAAATTGCAAGGAAATAACTCTTCTGTGTCCGAGATGGGGAAGCACAAGCCCACATTCCTGAAAAGAGCCAAAAGGCTCCGTCGATTATCGTCTGACATCTGAGACCACACTGTGGAGAGTTCTGAAAGATGAAGAACTCCATCGCAAATAGAGCTAACAGAAGGACGATGGGAGATAAGCGTACGCAGCTGATCTGACAACCACTGCGGGTCGATTATGACGATGTCTTTCATTTCAGGCAGATCCTCGTACCAGAGAAACGTACCTTGGGAATGGAAAAACCTCAGCATTGCTATCACTCTTTCCTCCTTGTGAATCTCTAACTTTAACGCAATGTCATAGACAAGAGACAAGGGCAACAAGGGTTGCTGTTTTAGAGCATCATCAGAAGACAGATTTTGAGCAATACCTTTGCGAAATGAAAGCCATTGTTTAGGAATTTTATCGGTTCCTGTTGCTTTCGTTATATTGGAAATGGAAGAAGCTACCAAAGACTTTAGCCCTTCAACATTGGTATTTTTAAACCTCAGTAGTGAACTAGGATATTTTTTAATACTGCTGACTTCAAAGTAGCCAAGAATGTGTGGAATTTGGCCGCAGGTGGTTTCTCTACTTGATGTGTCCGTCATTAAACACGTTAAATATTCGAGATTTTCGGGACATTTTTCTGGGTTACAAATGAAGCATTCTTCGCAATTGTCAGTTCGACAGAAGGCTCTGTGCGACGYACAATACTTGATTAAAACCTCTGCCAAAAGCTTTCGGTTTTTATCGATGATCTCGCTGTTCACCAAAGGTCGGTCGGCATGGGTGCCTACAAGGATGACGTTTGAATTGGGATCTTGAGATGCAATTGTTTCCAGCCACAGCCGAAGTCGACACATATGATCTACAGATCGTACTCCTTTGTCAACAATGACTCTGCTTAGGTCATAGACAATCAAATAAAGAGTGTTGGAAGAAAGAAAAAGAGAATGTGTATTGAGATATTCCACATCTCCCGCCAAGTCATACACCTTGCACTGGATGTCTTTCAAAGGCAGAACAGAAATGTCAACGCCATCTGTTTTGGGTGGAGGTTTATTCTTGGTAAGCCAGCGACTACGTCTCATTGCTTTGATAAGGGTGCTTTTACCAACTCCTTCCTCTCCTGCGACAATCAACTTTGATTCTGTATTCAGAACTGGATATTCTTCCAACGCTTCAAAGTAATTAATGATGTCTCTGGCAGATCTCTTTAACACTTCAGGTGGAGGAAAGTACACATTCTCATGATCAATAAGTAGGGTGTGTAGCTTCTTGAGAGAACCCAGCGTTGAGGGAATTTTCTTAAACTTGTTATTGGCAAGGTTCAAAATTTCCAGATTAACAAGGTTTCCTATCTTATAAGGCACATCTGTAGCTTGTGTTATTCCACAGTTATTCAGTACTAAATGTTTCATGGTATAATGGAGATGTGGAGGAAAGGTTAAGGTAGCCAGGTCGACTGCAGTATTAACAATGATCATGTACTCCAGACCAGTAAACTTAGCCAAGAATAAGAAATCCAGCGTTCCAGAGCAGTTAATAATGATTAAGCTTCTCACCAACAATTGATCCCTGGTACTAAGAAAACTAGCAATAGACTCACAGTTGTTGGAAACGAAGTGGAGATTTGCGGGGCATGTCGAGCAATTCATGTCTTTGTGAGATTCAGCCCGCGCAATACTAAATGATCGGCACTGAAAGATCTGGGCCCGRTTCTTGTAACATTCATGAAAATACCACAGAGTACAAGTCGGTGGTGAACTTTTATACACGTCACGATCAACAACCGTACAAGGTATTCCGTATGAAAGTTGAAGTCTGTCAAACTCCAAAACGCGATATATCAAAAAGCTTTTACGTGAATCTTCCTCTGTGATGTGAAGAAAACTCTGTTCTACTAGATAAAAATTAGGATCTTGCCGAAGAGATGGCTTAATAAAAGGAAACCAATTTAATGAATCTAGCCGGTCGAACTGATCCCAGAGAAATCTGGCCCAATTGCTATTTCTGTCAGTCATTATATTAATTGCCGCATACAAATGTTTTCCAATAAATTCAGAATTTGAATTACTCAAATGGGAACGGACAGCCTCTTCTAATACTTTATGCACGTTAAAGTTTGTTATGGAGGAGCATTCTATGTACTTTACGGCTCCAAGACATCTGGCAAGTAAAGGACCCAGTTCACAAGGAAAAAGGTGCTTTTCATTTACCCCTTTGAGGTCAGCTTTAGCTCCAGCAAGCAGCACTGGTGTTTCTGGAATATAAGTTTTTCGAATATAAGGAATATCAACATCAATAGCTTGTTTTAGAGAAAGTAGGCTTTCAATGGCAAAAAGTTCAATGATGATATCTGCCGATGGATAATACCAGGGATAAATAGAAAATCCTACATGACTGTCTGGTATCAATATTCTAATCGTGTATTTCACTTGGTCGACCAACAAGGGAATATAGAAATCATATCCAAAATCCAATGAATAATTATATGCAAATGTTTCCCGCAAGGACAAGCATCTTCCAATTACTGATGGGTCACCAAGAACATATATTCTTTTTATCTCCCCTTCCATTCAGGTTTTTGTTGACGTCTCAGCTACGACTGAAATGAAAATATCAAAAATATATCACGACAAAACGAATCAAGTTTCAGTGTTTTAGCAAAACTGATGAATTACAAATGTGTTGTGCATGCAGGCTTGAAGCAAACAAATTGACATTATTTATCTTTGTTGTTCACAAGGCTTTATTTTTTTATAACCCTCATTATAAATGAGAGGTCAATATGGAGTACAAACACTAAAAGTGTGCAACACTTTGCACTATTTAGTAGTAAATAGTGCTAATTAAACAATAGAAAACAATAGGATTAGCATAATTTAGCAGTATATAGTGGTATTTATGTTACACACTTTAAGTGTTATTTTTAGTGTTAAACATTTGATAGAAAACATTAATAATAATAAATATGTTTTTATATAGCGCATCATAGATTCTCAATGCGCTTTACAAATATTACGATGAAATGTTAAGTGAAAAAATAGATTAAAGTTACAAATTGAACAAAAATGTTTTTAGTTTTCTCTTGAATATTTCCAAA